TATGTGCCTGGACTCAGGTGGCTGGCTCAGCAGGCCCAGGGGCAGGGCTGATGCCGCATGTGGTGCCAGGGATTGAACCCCAGTCCCTGCGCTTGCCTAGCCAGGCACTTTTTCCACTGAGCCATCCCGCAGGCCCTTACCCAAGTTATTTTGACCAATGATTTCTTTAATTTTTTTTTAAAACACTTTATTTTAACACAAAAGAACTCACGAGAACTAGTCACCTGTCTAGTTACAGTGGGGACAAACCTATGGTGTCTGTGCCACAGCAGGCTGTTTGTATCATTGACCCCTCTAAAAGGTTTGCCATCAAGGATCAATCATTAGCTCATGGCCACTTGTGTTTTACATATACCCCACCCTCACTCCCTGCCCTGAACCATTTTTATTTATTTATTCTAATTTTTTAGAATCTTTTGGTTATTTACTTTATTTATTTACTTACTTGGTATAGGGTCTTGCTACTACAGCATGGCCAGCCTGCCTCACTGAGGCCAGCGTGGCATGCGGTACCTGGGATTGCACCTGGTCCTTGCACTTGCCAGGCAGGCACTTATACCACCAAGCTATCTGCCCAGCCCCTCCCCCCCTGAACCATTTTTAAAACCCAAACACAATGCAGCATTTTATTCTTTGGTATGCTTTTAAGATTTTCCTGCAGATTTTGTAGTAATACAAATTCTCTAAAATGGTTGAAGTAAAGGTATTTGAAAATATTTGTATAGTACCTCTCATGTGCCAGCTTCATCCTTGATGCTCTTCATCTGTGATCTCATTAAATTCTTACAACATTAAGAGACATAGTTTGGTCAGAACTGGGGATCTGGCCCATCATACACTCCAGCAGAGAACAAGGAAGAGGCCAGAAGAGCGGCTGTCCAGTGTTCAGTGTATACAGTGGGCCCCAACTTGAGAAATAACGGCTTTTCTGTCCTTGTTTTCAGGATCTTCTCCTACATAGAGAATTTATTACCCAGGAAATAATAGTATTGATTATTTATAATCTTTTGACAATAGTGGAGAAGCTTCACAAAGCAGAAATAGTCCATGGAGACTTGAGTCCAAGAATCCTGCTTCTAAGAAACAGGTTGGTCCTTTACATTTTTTTCTAAATGTCAGCTTTCTCTTAAAGCATGGACTGTTACCACTTTCTTATGAATGCCATACTATTGAATGTACTGTATTTGCTGTCTAAAAGTCAATAATCATTGAGAGTAGTTTAAAATAATTCAAAGGAAAAAAAAAAAACAACACCTTGAGGAAATACACTGCTTCATATACATTATTCAGCCACTCTTATATTGTGATGACTCTTGCCCCAAAGATATAAAATCTGGTTGTTTTTAAGAATGTGAAGGAGATTCTCTACTTCAGTAGGGCCAGCACAGAGCTAGCAAGGATGGCAGCAAAATAGAGGCACTACTCAGTTCTAAAACCTAAAGCATAAGAAAGATCAAATTGAGGTAATAGCCAAGAAAAGTTGGTAGAACCAGAGCACAAGTACAAGCCATGCCAAGAAAAGGGGCTTAACAGTTCAAATTAAACCCATTTTATCCATCAGATTTGAGGAGCAGATAGCACAAAATAAGACTGAAGCCCAGATATAACAAAGAATCTAGAAAATGTTGAGGCAAGAACAGGGCAAGACAGTCTAAGATATTTGTTTTTTTGTTTGTTTGTTTGTTTTTTGTTTTTGTTTTTGTTTTTGTTTTTTTTGAAAGAAGTAGAGGACCAGCCCCACCTTTTAGTAACTGCTTATCTCATGGAATTCACATAAAGTGGCCTGGTTTAAAGATGTCTACCTGTGTCTCAGGTAACCAGTTAATTTTTAAAGCCATTGCTATTACACAAAGAGCTGAAATCCTCTTTTATGTTTTTTCTGATTACTTACCTGTGAGAAGAGAACTGAGCAGTTAGCATAGAAATTAAAAACATCCTTAATGAATTTCTCAATTTATAACCAAAAGAATAAGACCACAGCTTCTTTCCTGAGGGAGCAGCCTTAATAGCGTCAGAAGATAGAATGTAGTAGACAGGGCCCCGTCAGTATTTTGAATGAGACAATTCTTTGTGCAAGTCAGTTCTAAGCAATGCAGAATGCTTTATACTTTTCAAAATTCCTCTACCCACATAATTAAGTACAAGTAATGTTCTCCCAACAAGTTAGTAGCTGATTAGAGGGTTAAATGAGCTTTCATGCTAAGAAATTTTTTTTCTACATCTCCAAAGTTTTAAAAAGAAAAAACTTGTTTTGGCTGGGTGTAGCTGCACAGTTCTGTAATCCCAGTACATGGAAGCAGAGATCGAGGATCATGAACTGAAGTCCAGACTGGGTGACAGTGTGAGACCTTGTATCAAAAAAGAGCAAAATAATTTTTTTAAATAATTTTTAAATGATCATAGTTTTATGGTGACCAAAAATAAGTTGGATCTTGTACCAAGAGAAAATGGGAACAATGATAAAGTCAAAGCACTCTGTATTGTAGAGCTGTATGACGAGATTAGGTCACGCCTGTGTTTGGGGGCATAGGACCTGCACCAGTATCAACCAAGAGTTTGAGGGCACGCTGGTGAGATAGCTCAGCAGTCGAAAGCGCCCGCTTAGGCAAGCTTAGGGAAGCGCAGGGCTACAAAAAAAAAAGTTTGAGGAAACCAACTGAGAAAAATAGAAAAAACAATCCATTCTTTACTCTCAAATAGTTCCTGTATCTTCTTAGAGACTAGCTTTATTATGTAAAATGCAATTAATTGTGAGTGGATAGAAACAGATAGTTTTATAATATAGGTAGCACTTTACCAAAATAGCCTTCTTTGTTTTTCACTAAACTCTGGGAGACTCAACAATATATGGGAAGCCTGCCTTAATAGAAAACAGGAAAGGCAATAGCATCTACAAAAGCTTCGTTTCCTCTGCCAAAATCCTTCTCAGATTACAAATCATTGCTATTATGGTTTTTTTCAAAACTTTATTGATAAACAGATAGCAATGAGACAGTTTCAAATCAAATCGGAAGTACAGATTCAAAAAATAACACACTGCATATATTCTTCCTAGTGGTTAATTGCTGTACAAGATGCGGACTTGTGATCCTATTTACAAACACCATTAGAACAAATCATTCTATTCATTAAGAGAATG